GGCTATGTGAAGAACAAGTTCTGACACATGAGCACAACCTCAAAGCTCTAAACTGTCCTGAAGGTGAAGCAACATAGAGGAAGGATGAGGCAGTGAAGGGTGTAAGAGAGAACATGGATGGTTTGATGCAAAAAGGGCAGTTGAGATGTGTCCAAGAAAAAGCTAAGTGGAAAGAGAAGGGAATGCGTAATATAAGGAAGTTTTGGTCAGGCAAAGAGCTGGATCTGAGGTGGACCTTAAGCCTTCTGACAAAAAGCTACAATTCTCCACCCATCAGTCAGATCAGCCACGCCCCTCATTTGCTTCCAGCATTCACACTATTGTTATTCCAAAAAATGTATTATTATTTATAATTTATTATTTACTGTGAGCTTTAAAGCGGCAGGTGGTCCAGAGAAATCTCCATCTGGCTAATGTTAAACTTCAGCCTGACTTCACTGACCAAACCTCTTGGGACTAACTTTTTAAATCGCTGTGGTTTCCACATTTCTTGGACCCCAGACATAAAAATCACATCAACGTGTTCGGCCATTTGTCCTCTTGCTCACAAAATCCCCACCAACTCTTAATTTAAGCCCTTGAAATGAGCACCCAATAGGGAGATGTTTTCCCCTGCCTCTGTGTGTTTCCGTGTGATTGCCCTGATTGTCCTCACCTGTGTCTTGTTAGTCTGTGTATTTAGTCTCTGTGTTTCTTCCCTACTTTTTCTTCATCTTCTACTATTCCTTCAGCTGTTTCTGCTTATTCTTCTTCATTCAGCAGTGTTTGCAAAACATTTCAGCCGTCAGCATTCACACGCATTTTCCGCAGGTAAATGCAAATTATCTAGTTATGAATTACCTTTATACTTCACAAATCAATACAGACCACGTTTTTTTAAACATCAACCCCTGTAAACAAGGTGCTGCTTGTCAATAGGCAGTGTCTCAAAGTGCCTCAAAATGTGCAAATTTTGCAATGACAGTGAGTAGAAAAAAATCCAGTGTGATGTCCTGATTGTCTTCACCTGTGTCGTTAGTCTCACCTGTGTCTGATTACCCCTGTCTATTTAGTCTCTGTGTTTCTTCCCTTCTATGTCAGTTCATTGTAGTTATGTCAGATGTTTGTATGTCAGTAGATGGCTGTTTTCCTCATGCTCTAGTACTACCTGTGGTTTCCTCATGGTTAGTTTTCTCCTTTAAGTAAGTTGTGCGTTTGCCTTTGGCCTTTTTGTTTAAATAAGTATTTTTTGTTAGATCTGCATCTGGGTCCTCCTCTCAGTTTTCTCGATCCGTGACAGAAGCAATATTTCACACAAAAATAAGGAAAATATGTTTTCTTTTTTCAATAACTGAAGCATTCATTCTCATTTATGTCAGAGGAGATATTGTGTGGCTGTATTTTTTCTGAAGTGTTTGTCAAAGATTCAATGAGCACATCGAGACCCTTACATGAGCAGACAGTAACTTTATCCAGATGTTACAAAGAAGCAAGTTCCACCTCACAGCAGGAGACTATCCCCGGTGTATGCCTGTGTCTATGTCCGCATGAAAGGCTGATGTAGGTCTGTTATGAGGTGACTTATCGTTAAGCTGACATAATGAAAATAAGACAAAAGAGAGAAACAAACCAGACCAGAAAGAGACCAACTCAAATGTCTTTAGGAGTGACCTTGCATGTGAAGAGAAGTTACAGAATCAACATGTCATTTATCCTCTGTTGTGGCCTTGTAGCCTTTAAAAATGTAAAATAATAAAAAAGAGTCAATGTGTGAGTGTGTATAGTCCCTTAGTTGTCTAGGCTCAGTAGAAGTGCAGTTCCTCTTTGATCCATGGTCTGGGGTCACAGCTCCAGATTTGAGTTCAATGCTGACCACAAAAGAAGCTCTGCCTGCCCCGCCCGATCGAACTGGGTAGAAGTAACACGGACACAGGTACATACCTGAACACAAACAGAGAGGACAAAGACAGAGTTAGTCTGTTCTGATCTCAAGGAACTCTTACTTAGTGCTGTGCTCATGATGATGGATTCATGATGGGTCTTCAGAAACATTTGTTTGAATTGCACAACACCAATAAAGATTGTTGGTTGGTTGATTGATTGGTTGGTTGATTGATTGACTGACTGGTTGTTCGGTTGGTTGATTGATTGATGATTGGTTGGTGGTTGGTTGTTGATTGATGATGATTGGTTGGTTGATTGATTGATTGAGTGATTGACTGACTGATTGGTTGATTGACATTGGCATGACTAAGGAAGACAGTTGGTGGAATAGAGTAGAACATTTCGGTTTGAAAGTCTAGAACGACTCACTCTTGGACATCTTCTTGCGGTTTTCCACAGGTTTGAAGTTAATGGTTGGAATGGGACAGACCATCTGCAGTTCTGCTTCTACCAGACAAGAGTTCTTCTTGTCCCAACCAGCCCCTTCCAGGAACAGACCTCGGATAAATACCCCATCCTAAAGGGTGGATGTGAGAAGCAGAAAAACAAGAACATAAAGGAGAGGACAATCAGGGAACTTGAAGCGACTCCTGTTTGGGGGTGAGACATTTTCAATAAGATAATGCAATATGATGGACAAAGAAGAGTAGAAAACAAGGGAGATGGAGGTGTAATGAGGAAGGAGGAAAGAGAGATGGATGAACATGAGTTAGTATATAGGACATAATGAAAAGTAAGTTTCTCAGTGACATTTAAAAAAAATAATTTCCTCTTAAAGTTAACACAAGATCCTGGTATAGATAATCGTTATTCACAAAGCTGTTTTCCCCTTCAAGAGAGCTCCCCAGGTGATAAACAGTTAGGAGTAGTGAGGAGACTTTTTAAGACTCAACAGTTCTCAAGCAACGTGAAGACGGATAGAAGAAATGTTCTCCAAACACTGAAGGACAGTGAGTTCATTTAAGGCTACAGATGGGATCGTGCAGGGATCATGTTTATGGTGATCTCATTAGGGATCCTCTCTTGGAGTACTCTCAGAATGTTTGTGAATACATGCACAGGGTGGAGTAAGAAAGGACATGGTAGAAAATGAAAGTGAAGGAAGAAATAAACAAAACAAAATAAGGACAGGAGGAAAAGTCAAAGTCTAAATTTGAGTTGTAAAACTGCCTCATGCATCTATTTAAAATGCAAGAACAGATTTAAGGAAAAGAAGAAGACAGAGGTATAAAGTGTCCTGCTTTGAATGAAAATTCAAATGAAAGAGACATTTGTGTATAAGGAGTCACCTTAGGCGGGGAGAGGAGGTTGCTGTCATCTACAGTGGACACTACGAACTCCCAAGACAGAGTATCCACTGAAATCTGCAAAAGAGTTTCGAAGAGACATTGTGACTAACGGGCATGAACAAAAGTTTATCATTAGATGAATAATGCAAGTTATTATGTGTAATGTTAAACTGTGTGGTGGTTGGCTGTAAGATCCATTCAGAGCCTAGATAAATGTATGGACTCCAAAATAAAAACATCAGAAAAGAATGTTAGGTAGGATAAGATTTCTGAAAATACAAGGGGATGATCTCAGTTAATATCTGATCACCAGTGGGTGTTACAGGAGTTTTTATTGTTGTTGTTGGTGATGCACATACAGTAATCCTGATGTTCATATTTCAACATTTTAAACTTGTTTTAGAATCATGTGCTTTATAAGTTAAAATACAGCTTCCTGCTGTGGTGTTACTATACAACTGTTTTCTTCTGCGTGTATAGGGTTGTGTGAACTCACATTGTTCTGTCGAGCAGAGGACTGCAGAACAGCAGTGAGGAAACTATTTGGAAAGGTGAAGCCAGAGAGCCAGAACAAGGTGGGGGGCTGAACCGTCTCAGCCCAGCGTGCAAACTGAGTGACTCGCTGGGAAAGATCCCTGGTCCAAGCTGCCAGGGGCTTCAGGGAGGGGTAAGCCTGTTGGACATAATGACATATAGAAGAGAGTGAAGGAGACAGAAAAAGAGACACAAGGCAATTCTACAGTCATTCCATGTTCACCAGCTGATGGTAGCTGCTCATAATGGAGCAGGTTTTGTCCAGTACAGTATTACTGGTCTCTATAAACATGTAGCTGGATACAGAAAGGATTTGGAGAAATTGGATATTTGAAGTGAGTGAGATCTTAATATGAAACCTTTGCTGATTTAATATTGACGAGATAACCTCAGAAGATCTATTCTTACATAATCTGTCACACACACACAGTGAAATATTCAGAGTCAAATACAAGTAAAGAAGAAATAAATGATTTTTCCTATAAGTCCAATCATTCAGTTCAAGTCGATATAGAAACAAAGGCAGTGCCATTATATTCTGAAAGATTTACATTTAATCTGTTGGCAAAAAGACACACTTATGTATATCCTCGCTTTCTTAAATCTTTCAGGGATAATAAGAATCTTTTTTGGTCTTTCATCTCTTGTGAACATTGAGAGTTGCACATTATTGTTACCCCCCCCACCATTGACTTTAAAGTCTTAATTACTCCATTCGTCAAAATCTGCTCAATGCTTGTAGTCTTACCATGTTTGACAGTGAAAACAAAAGAACGGAAACTGAGTTCAACCTGCATAACAGTACGGCTGAAGACTAATTAAAATATCTTCTGAGTTGATGTCACTTTCATTCAGGCGTCTTTGCACTAACCATGGTCCTATTCATACCCACTGCTTTAAGCCTGGAAACTCGTCTATTGTCTGAATATTTGAGCCGCTTTGAGCTGGTCCACAGCCAATCAGGAGTCTTCTATGCTAAAGGTGAAAGAAAGAGGAACTTGGCTGTTGTGCCTCAGGAATGCTTGTCTTTGCAGATCTAGCATTGAGTAAGGTTAGGGTCTTAGTCTTGTTCTGACACGTTTCACATCTCTAATGTTCCCAAGTTTTTGTTACATGCAAATCTTTTTCTATCTGCTCTTATGATGTGTTATGCTACCTGCCTCACCCTTTCCATCTAGACACAGTCTACCATACATAAATGCACAGCCTCAGTTGATGACCTAAAGACATTAAAGGGGATGTAAGCCCGTCCAATTTGTACATAATATGATGTAACTTCTATGTTTAGTTTCTGATTCCCAGAGCCCTCTTAACTGGTACAGACCAACAAGACACTGAAACCAATATGAGCAGTTACACATGTGAGGAAGGCAGAGGTTGCAAAGCACTAGTTCCAACCTTTTATAATGCACTTAGTTGATCCTTATACACAGACATTTGACCAGTAATAATTTAGTATCCACAACTTTCCATAGTATGTAAAAAACTGTCATTCTTTTAATACTGAAGCAGTGACAGAATGTTACATATCAGCAATCGTCATCTTTTTTGTTTGTTTACAAAAATGACTTTGCATCATTTATATAGATGAATTGCTACGCTTGGCTTCCCCTTTATAAGGCTGGATTGGAAACTGTTGAAGCAGGAGGGGGTTAAATTCACCATAAAAAAAATGAAACATGAGCTTTCTGATTTGTCTGGTTCCTGGGATCCTTTTTATATATTTACCTCTCACTGGAAAATGAGCATGAATGGAATCAGTGACATGCTACCTTTAATACTTTTGCGTAAAAGATATGCACATCTTAAATAAATAAAAATGACATGTACATATGCTGTACAGATTTTAAAACGCTAACTGAATCACCAGAGCTCTGTACAAAAACACAATTACATAATGCCATGAGTCTGTGAGTTCAGAACTAATGAGAGGCTGCCATGCCAAGGAAAGGCGGAGAACAGAGAGATGAAGGGATGGAGGGATAAATAAGCAGGACTTCTTGTTGCTGCTTAGACCAGACGAGACAAAGACGTAGAAAAGAGCAGAAGAGATGGAACACTTGATGGAAGATAGAGAAAGAATGTCATGCTAATGAAGATGAAGTAGACAGTGAGTAATTCAAAATATACACATAGAGAAACAGGGTAAGTTGTCTAGCTTCGTGGTCAGTAGAATGAAAAGGCTGAGCTGGAGGCTGCAGTCCTGATAGCTGTCCACTACTCATAGAAAAGGAAATCAAAACAAACACACCATATGTGCATACATTGTACTGTAATAAGCTGTTGGCTAAGTAACAATGAGCTCAAGGTCCTTTTTCAGAAAGTGGAGCCAGCCCTGGAAGGTACATTGCTTTTAACTGTATGGATTAGTCCCCAGATGCTGGCTTTGTTCAGCCCTATATAGGCTGAGGTAAGCTACACCCCATGAAAAAAAACAAGGCAAACGCACACAAAAACAAACACATGCGTTTGCGGTACATTTTCATGCAAAGCCTCTTATGAAAACTTAATTAGACACTTGAAAAACAGAAAATGAACTACTGAATGACCCTTGCCCCCCCCCCCCCCCATGTGTACTCTTTTCTAGCCATACAACCTTGTATTCTCTCCTCCAGCTTTAAGTGTTGACAAAATTACAACTGGAGTCCTGCCACAGCTGTGCCAACTAACTCTGTGTGTGTGTGTGTGTGTGTGTGTGTGTGTGTGTGTGTGTGTGTGTGTGTGTGTGTGTGTGTGTGTGTGTGTGTGTGTGTGTGGGTGTGTTGTGTGTGTGTGTGTGTGTGTGTGTGTGTGTTGTGTGTGTGTGTGTGTGTGTGTGTGTGTGTGTGTGTGTGTGTGTGTGTGTGTGTGTGTGTGTGTGTGTGTGTGTGTGTGACTGCAGTTGGACACAGGAGAACAATAAGAGTGTGTGTGTCTCCATGCAGAGTGATGGATAAATACAACTTTAAAAATGGTTAGAATTTACAGGGACAGGCCCGCAGCAGTGTGACTGCTTTAAGAGAAAGAATAGATAGAATGTTCTCTGTTGAGTTTCTGCTGAGCGGAAAATTCAGTATAATTTGTTGCAAAGAGAATATACCTCATATCAAGTATTGTGCCCACCAATAGTCGATCACAATAATCGTGGTTGATCACGTTTTTACAAGTCGTACAGAAATATTATAGCTTCTACCACTGATAGGAAAAGTGTTACCCAGAAAGGTGAAACTTTTGTTGGATCAGGATGAAACTATGAATTTGCTCAAGTTTATCTAAAAGTACTTAAGAGGTAGTCAGAAGTTGTCTATTGACTTCAGCCGTCTTACTTTATGTAGCGAGTCCACTCTCTAAAATCTCATCACGCTAAGAAAAAGATAAGTAAGGAATAAATGAAAGCACCTGCACATACTGTAATGGTGTTAATTAAGTTCAACCACAAAATATGACTTTGAAGGACGCCTGTGAAGTGTGATATTTTGGCAGCTGTTTGTTGGTGTGTGTGTGTGTGTGTGTGTGTGTTTGTGTGTATATATATGTCTTGCACCTTCTCCCACAGTGGTGGTACACGGGCGTCATAGATGCAGTGGAAGATCTCCTCCAAGCTTGATGACATCACCACTAAGCCTGTGATCCCTTTCTCCAGCTCCACCAGGGACGAACTAACACATGAAATGCACAAAAACAACACACTGTGGTTATCTTCTCTTCTTTGAGTATTATTTTGTTTTAGTTTTGCCTGCCAAGACATTTGTGCACACACACACACACACACACACACACACGATAGTTCCTACATGATGGTGTTCAGTAGTGCGTTGTATCTCTGGATTTCTTGCAGAAGGACCACATTAAGAGGTGAAGGGTTGTCCTGGAGCAACGACCGGGTGCCCTCGAAGTCAATCAATGCTGGGATCTTCCCTTGAACATCTGACAGCAGCTCTAATACCTTCAAACATCAATGACATGTTTTACAACAGAAGATGAGACAGTTTAACTTATAAATGCACTGCACTCACGTTTAAAATAACAATAATTTATTGATCCTGTGAGGGGAAATTCGTTTTTACACTCTGTCTAGTAAACATACCACACAAACATAGGCCGAAATACAAACAGGATCCTATGGACAGGGGGGGCTGCCCACAGTGGGCGCTCATGAGCTGGTGGGGGGGTTGGGTGCCTTGCTCAAGGGCACCTTGGTGGTGGTTGGGAGGTGGACTGGCACCTCTCCAGCTACCAGGCCAGTTTCCGGACTTGGTCTGTGACTTGAACCGGCGACCCTCCGATTCCCAACCGAAGTCCCTACAGACTGAGCTACTGCGGCCCCCAGAATGAGATATTAAAGCTGCATCAAGTCGAGTTGGACCTTTATTAGTTCCTACTGTAGGACTGTTGATGATAACCCTTTTGTCTTCTCGGAAAAAAAAAAAACAGCTCCCATAATCACAAATATCACTAAAAGGTTTATTGATAGGATGATGCACATCATCCATCAGCACCAATTTTTGTTCAGATCAAATTAATGCAATATATTTAACTCTGAGCCTTGTAAGCATACAGTTAGCTTTCTGTCTCAAAGATGCTCTAGTTTGCTGAGTTGTTGCTGTTATACTTACAGCAGTAGTAAAAAGAAATCCCATGGCATTAGAACTTAATGGGAGTGGCTTTTTGAAGTATTCAGTCAAGCACTTTGGCAAACCTCAGATAAGTAGGTAAGTAGTAGTGCCTATTTAAAAACTTAAAAATAATCTTATTGAAAACATTAAAAGATAATGGCATTATATTTTTTTAAACCAAGGTATAAGCAGGATTTAACCCTTCAAGGTGTCCACTGTCAGGTCAAAAGCAAACATCTATAATAAACTGATAATGAAATACTTGTTGGAAATCATCTTTAACATTCATCATTGCTGATATCAAATACCATTAATACATCTTGAGCAATTAAATGGCTTTTATGGATCACTTTTGATAATCTAATAATCCTTTTTTATATAATACATTCAGATGTCATTAATGCTGGTCTTCAAAATGATTTGGCATTTGCTTCTAATATATTACTGACAGCAACTTAAGTTTAATGCCTTAAAGGGTTATGATATTTATATGTATGTGGACAGACAATTACAATTTCAAAAGCTGTGACATGTTTATGATCCATTCATAATCTTTAGATTCTGTCTATGGCCCTGCTTACTGTTCAACTATTAATAATCATAATCTTATAATTCTTATAAGTCATATATTTCCATTTAACTAGTCATTTTCATCCTTACAACCCCCCACTCACCTTATCTTCTCTACTTGGCCCGGCCCCTGCAGCAGTGGGACTGGTGACTTGGGGTTGCAGAGAGAGTAAGGTGTCAAACAGTGTCCTGGACTCTGCGATCTGGCTGGCTATATCTGCATTAGAGTGTTGGCCAAACACCTCAGGGTGCTCTGTGGAAGGCAGCATACTGATATGTTCCTTGTATGAGGACTGGGGACCATCGCGGGGGATGTAATAGGAGGTTAAGGAGGACAACCTGAAACATAAAGTGGGAAGACAGAATACAAAGTCAGTCAGATATACTGTGAGCCCAATTTATAGACGAGTCTTAGAAAAAGATGGCTGACTTTTAGGTACAGCTGTGGTTGTTTGTTGTCTGGATTAGGCTTGTCTCATGTTTGGATGTTTTGCGACATGTATGAGTGTTTTTGTTAAGGGTGGGTGGGGGGAAGAAAAAAAATATTTCCCTGTACAGTAAAAGCTATTTTCTGTTATTATCTTTCAATAAAAAGACCTTTGAAAGAAAAGAAAAAGATGGCTTGAAACAAAGCAGCATTTGCACAAGTCATAACACTTACTCAATAGAAGACTAAGGGATCTTGCTAGTGCTCAGGTGCAAAGAGTATCTTCTTCCCTGATTGTCCACTAGGTGGAGCTGTCACATTATGACAGTTGGCTTCAGTAGGCAATTGAAATTCAGCCACAAAATATATCTAAATGTCTCTGACATCAGCACTGCCAACCACTGCATGTGTGTGTGTGTGTTGAATGTGTCTCACTTAAAGAAGGGCTGGTCTACTGCAGAGTCACAGAAGTAGCCGTTGATGTAAGTGGTAAGAAGACGTCTATCCCAGTCGTCTGTCACATGACCTCCATAGTTGACCCCAGCAATGAGATACTTCAGTGCATCCCATGGAATCTCCTCATACTCATCCAGGTACAGACTCAACAGATTCTCACTCACCTAGGGGGATATGAAGATAATGAGATAAGAAACAGACTATGGTCAAGTTAATACTCTGTGATGTGGATATTACACAAAAACAGTTCAAACAGATTGAGAAGGAAGTTAGATGAATTCAGTTTCATTCAAACTAGGTTGTCATGTTTCATATGTCACTCTTCAAAAGCTCTGTCAATCACTTAAAGTCTATATTTGTGTCAGATATGATTATTGAAATGACAAGTAATGATTGAATTATTACAATTATCCCCACCCAACCACAACCTCAACATAGCAATTTTCATAGCATAGCAATCAAGACGTCATCTAGGTGTTGTCACCACCAACACCATAACCGTACAATACCCCCCACCCCCGTTTTCCCTTTTTTTTTCCAGTTCTCTCTGTTTCCTTTAGTATCAGATAAGTTCTGACCTCAAAGTCAGAATCGTTGAAGCCATAGACTATATTCCATCCCAGCTGTAAAAACTTCTTCCTCTCCAGCAGTATGCTGTGAAAGAAACAGAGGGAGAAGAGCAGCTTCCTGTATAAGACAGGTCTTGAACAGCGGTTGAACTGATCCTCGGTCACCAGCTGGTAGAGACGCTTCATGTTGGCTTTTATACCCTAGATACAAAGAGGGCAGTGTTAAAACTGGGGAGGGTTGAATTACCATATTTACCATACAATATATGAAGGTGCATACATCCAATATACAAAGGATAAAACATGTGGATCTATTGTGATGGATAACATTTATGTATGCTTTTATAGTAAACGGCTAATTTCTGAAATCCTCATGTGTGAGTATTGCACCTTTGGTGGTTCAGTGGTCATCTTGATGCCAGCCTGCAGTATGGTGATGGGAAATTCAGGATGTGGGGAAGAGCTCAGCCAGAGTCTGAAGTTTTTGTTTGGCTTTTCCACCTGTAGCTGCTCCACCAGCTTGTCCAACTCAGGCATCCACGAGAGAGAAAGGTGGCAGTTGGCAAGGAACACCCAGTGACCTGGGCAGAAAAAGAAGGTTGCATTGATGTCTTTGTTAGATATTTGATGTCATGTCTAGTTGTTTTTGAGTACCAAGGTTATCTTTTGTAAAGGAAGACAAAAAAAGGTTAGTAAAGCTAATATGACAAGTTTTGAAAAAACAAGTGGTTGGAGTAAAACATTTATACGGCTAAGCAACAAAACAAATAAGAAATAGAAGAGCAAAGTCAAAGATGGTATTGTACCAGTCTTGACACCCTCCTCTATCATGCTCTTAGCAATGGGGGCCTGCCCCTGACCCAGAGACAGAGCATGGAAATGATTGCTCATGCCAGAGGCGTCAGCAAGCTGCAACAGGGCTCCTGTTGGGTCCACACCAGAAGACAGCACAAAGATCAGAGGAGTCCTGCATGTGGATTCTTCCACAACCTGGCGAGAGGACAGAAGAAATGAGATGTTATGGTTTGGTCTTTTTCTAGTTTGGTTTTTCAGTGTTTAGTGTTTCATGATTTAGTTTGTAGTTGTCCTCTGTGTTTCTTGTATTCCTGTCTGTGTGTTTTTAGTGTTTCATTCTTGAGTTCTGTGTGTTTCCCTGTGTGATTGCCCTGATTGTCCTCACCTGTGTCTGATTCCCCTGTGTATTTAGTCTCTGTGTTTCTGCCCTTCTGTGTCAGTTCATTGTTGCATGTATGTTGTAGGTATTGTAAGTGAGTTTACTCATGGCTACTTGTTTTCTTGTGTTTGGATTTCTGAAGTGAGTTTTTTGTTTAATTAAATCATTTTTGGTTCTGCATCTGGGTCCTCCTCTTGGATTTCTCAACTCGTAACATGAGAACCAATTAGCAAACATGATGTAACTCACTCAAAAACTAACCAAAAAATGACAACCTCTGAATTAAAACTCAAAACAGAGCAAACCATATTCATTAAATGTTTAACACTCACTGCCTTCATATCAAGAACAGGTGGCTCCACAAAGCGTGAGCCCAGGTTGTTTACAATGAAGGAGGTGACACACACAGAGACACGGTCCTGACGCAACGACCGAACAATCAACATCTTCTGCAGCTCATTACAGCGGTTCCAATTACCTAAAATGAAAAGAGAGAGAGAGCATTATATGTTTTCTGCTGTCAGACTTTGTACTTGAGTGTAAATCTGAAATATTTCAATGCACAGCAGCATGGACAACAGTTCAAACTGTCCCATACTGTTCATATAACAGTAATCCAACCTTCCAACACTTTACCCTCACTGTTGCTAAGGTTCAATAAGTACTAAAGCAAAATCAAAGCTCCATAACACATTCAAACCTGGCAGTGTGGCATTCTCTGGCTCAGCACTGGTGAACCAATGGTTCCAGTCTAGGGGATGCTGTTCAAAGGAGGTCATAATGCCTTTGAAATTTGGAAGCTTATCCAGCTCTGTGATGTTGTCCCAGCAGGAGTCTGTCAGCCAACTGGTACATGGATTGTTCATCTGATCCTCCTTATCAAGAACCTACAAAAGTCATGCTTAAATTAACTATTCCTCCAGGGATCAGTGCATCACTAATAAGACTTAACAACTCATCAGTGTACAGCATGTAACTTGACAGCAGCAAATGTAGTGGTGGAGAATGATAGTATTGATACTTTGTATCCCCCCCCGTGTTTTCTTACAAGTCCTCCTCGTAGGAAGAAGCTGTACTCATCCATGTTGAGTTTGCCAGCCACCTCCAGGATTTTGGCACACATTCTGAAGCTGAAAAGCAGCTTGTGGGCCTCAAACAGACCTCGACACGTGTACCTGCAAAGGATAACACACTGATATAGTCTATTTGTCTAACTGTTTGCAATAGGCTCCAATGCTAAAACATATCTCATTTAAATGTTTTGGGATTTACATATAATTTTTCAACAGATGTGAAGTACAAGGTACAAATTTGTATTTGTACAGAGAGAAAAAAAGAACAACACACTCTTCTAACCCCACACCCTGAAGAGGAAAAAAAAAGCAAACTTGCAAAAACAACAAAAATATCCCTTGCCATTTTAAATCTCAGGAAGTTGTTTTACCTTCCATGCATTAGATACCAGAGAAGAGCATTTTAACATTTTTACTTTTTATTTGACAGTTTGAAAAAAGTGAGTCAGGAAGAGCGAAAAAATGGCTGATTGAGAGGCAAATTGTGTTTTGCCTGTAAAGGTTGAAAAGAAAAAAAACGTCTATCCACCATTTTTCACAGGACAGTTATATAGCTGGACTTTGAACACTGTTCTGTCAAGAATACACTCAATCAAGAAAACCTGCATGCAGACTTATATTATGAAAAGGTATCTCTTGATGAATTCTTCCTCACCTGTATACTGCATATGTGTGGTAGTCATTGAGGTTGGTAATCCTTTCTTCCAGCTTTTGGCTGCGCTTGCTTTTTTTAATGCTGAGGTTAAACAGGTTAATGTAGGCATCCAGCGAGAACTGGTACATTGGATCGATGCGGCCCATATCGTTGAGGATGAAGAAGAGAATGGAGGCTCGCTGGGCACACGGGCGATAGGCCTGTTAAGAGAAAGCAGTCGAAGCTTTACAAACAGGTACATAGACCACATTACAACTGTCCCTGCTTCCCTTCACGGGCTACCTGTGAGGTTTACCTGTTCTAACAGTTGTAAAGTTTGTTTTTAGAAAATCAATTTTTTCAAATTGTTGAGGCTTGAGGGCGACAATTATATTTATAATTATTACACTGTAGGCACAAACTGGCATGCAGTTGAACCCTTATCATTTTCATACACACATACATAGTATGCAATAATAATAACACCCGTCACAAGTTAAAGTGACACAATCCTTAAATCCATTCATCTATACACTGACCTCTCTTGCAGAATCAATCTCTATTTCGGTCTGTTCACTGCTCTCCAGCTGATCTGAAACCTCAGTGGCTGTGACTTTGGATGTTTGCAGGGTGTTCACCAGCTGCACATCGTCCAGTAGAGAGCCAGTCGCCTCATTAAGCAGCCTGGCAAAGTAGAAAGTAGACATGAAAA